AAAATAGCATGAAATGTAAATGCTTAAATTAAATGGTACATAAAGCATAAAAAACTAAAAGCATAAAGTAAAGTCAATTGTTAGAAATTAGTGGTTAGTTGGATGACCATCTTGAAACTTGCATTTGGAACTCATTAGAGGATTGGTATAACCAAAGCCTCCACACAACAAGTTGAATTTGCTTTTTGTAAAGTATATCGTCCATTTTGGAATTCTCACAAGTAACATTTAATGATCAACGATGTTTAAGTGATCCGCGTTGACCAAAGGTGTTGTAGATCCATTAGAGGATTGGTAGAACCAGAGCCTCCACACAATGAATCTCAAGGTTATTGGATCAAAGGGATCAAATTAACATACTTGGGCTTGCAATCATAAGTTTGGGCCACGAATGGTCATTTATTTGAATCGAGACAAAATTTAGCGCTATGTTAAGCAATCGTAAGTGGACTTATGTAGAAGTCGCACCTATTTTGAGGCCGGTCAATAACAATTTATGTACTTCATGTTTGGATAAATGATATAGAGATCACCATCCCTTAACATGTAGCACAATTAAAAAAATAAAGGGATAAGATGAAGAGGGAGGGGAATGATAAGCTAATTTGGATCACCATTTCAAAATTCCTTCATCTTTAAATTTAACCACTCCTCTAGATGGATTAAAGTACTAAACATATCATTAATCCAAAGCACTAAAAATGAATTAAATAATGCATTCTTAGGTAGATTTGAATTTATGAACATTTATCCAACTTCATCTACATCACAAAGTCCATTGAGTTTAAAGACAAATTGAACATTTAAAATTGCAATCCAAATTATCCATCAAAGAGAGTGAGCAGAAAAATATTTGAGTCAAAACAGCCCCAAAATAAGGCAGAAAAAGTATTTTTGGCACTGTTACAATCAATTACTTAAACAACAACTTATTGCATCAGTGCAGTTTTTTATCAAATCAATTTTCTGTGACAATCAATTGCAATGTTACGAAAAATTGATTGCAACCTGTTAAAAATCAGTAGAAAATAGCTTTTTAAAGATCAAATTCTTGTTCCAACTTTTCATCAAACACCTTATGATCATGGATCCAATTGAGCATGAAAATGCCATCAAATTATGAGAAAATAGCACCAATGGAATCATAAAACAGTGCTCAATGAATCAAAACCAGAAATCCACAAGAGATCACATTGTGAAAGGTGATGATCCAACTTACCAAAGGTAGAATTAGAGAATTATCAAACAACTTCCATAATTTTCCTCAACTCAACCACAAGAATAAATTACCAAAGCTTGAATGTAGTGAATTGATGGGGAAAAGTGGTTGGGTGAAGGTTTATCTCAAAGATTAGTAAGCTTCATTGCAAAGCTTACTAACTTTTTGAAAATGGAGCTTTGAGTGAATTTGGTAGATGGAGAGAATTGAGAGATTTTTTAGCAAGATGAGTTTGGCTATCAAAAGCTTATGATTTGAATGAAATGAGGTCTCTATTTATAGAGTTTTAGGATTGGGATTAGTGGTAATTTGGTAATTGATTCTTAGAGCAAAATTTGAATTAATGATATAATTTCAAATTATGCATAAAAAATTGGAGCAAAAAATGAGACACATTTGAAATTGCTGGCTTTTTTAAAAAACACGTGCATTTTGCTCTTATGAGTCGATACATGGGTGGTATGTGTTGATACATCCTAGTTGTATAACATAGCATGTGTTGATACATGCCTCTATGCATCGATACATACTATTATTTCAACACATTACAGAATCACCAAAACTGCATGAGTCGATACATAACACTTATGTGTCGACACATGCTAGTTATACAAACAAGATGAGTCGATACATACATGCATGTGTAGACACATGATAGTTATTCAAACAGGATGAGTCGATACATACATGCATGTGTCGACACATGCCAGTTATACACATCAAGATGAGTCGATACATGCCTTTATGGGTCGATGCATGTTGTCTTTTGCCACAATATAGGATCAATCAACTTTCATGAGTTTAACATAAGCTTTCATGGATTCATACAAGATTCCTTTCGACACAATACATAATCAATCAACTCGGAAAACCTTATTTTTCAAATGCTTTGACTCGGTACCTACAAAACACAAATTGTGCAAAGACAAGGACAAATATATTTTTTTTGTATTTTGATTAGCAGTTAGTCAATCAACACATATACAAAATACACAACCAAGGTGCTTGGAGATTCCTCAAGAGCAAACTTAAAGATAGAAGATAGAAAAAGGAGGAAGAACCAACCCTAATGTGATCTTGTTGTGATCAAGTTGACATGATATGATAGGGGAATCTTAGGGGCAAAAATTGGGGTACAATAGTACCAAATTTAAAACTTCCCCATTTGGAGCAGGTTTCTATTTATATTTACGGCACCTGCTTTTACTTTGTTTATTTCCCGCACCTACTTTTACTTTTTTTATTTCCCGCACCATCTTTTACTTTTTTTATTTCCCGCACCTGCTTTTACTTTGTTTATTTCCCGCACCTGCTTTTACTTTGTTTATTTCTCGCACTTGCTTTTAATTTGTTTATTTTCTACACTGCTTTTACTTTGTTTATTTCCCGCACCGCACTTTAAATTATTTACTTTCTCGTATGATTTATTTTAACATATCTGTTTACATTCCCATGTCAGGCTGAACTTTACTGGGCTAGAATGTAAGGAATCTAGTTAGATCGATATTCCATATAATGTGTCAATAGAAATGCTTATGGGCTATTTTTGTTTTTAATACGAGTTTTCTGTACTTTATTGTTGTTGGGTAAGATCGAAAGTCATCTAACCCTTTGTTAAACTCGGTTAGTTCTAACTGGTCAAAGGAAGAGAAAGTGCTTTGTCCGGTTAGTTAGGAATTTTTATTATCAAAGAAATCAATTTTGAAACTATTTCCAGACGCGTTTATAGGGTTAAAGTTAGGTCCCCTTTTATTAGAAATTCCAGATCAAAATACTTTGCAACTTGGTCAAGTACTTTACTTCTTAAAAATAGGTTTATTACTTTAACGCAATGCTCGCCTTTTTATAAGTGACGATAAGAAGGTCTGATTAGAGAGTAAACTCGGTTCTGATGACGCGAAAGCGACAGTTCTTGTTAAATTAGTTCTTTTCTTTAGTAGAAAAATATTTCCCTATAAGTAGTTCTATTCTGAAGCATTGCGAATATCATCTGACTATGTGAATTACATTCGACCCTACTATTATATATGAAGTTTATTTCGCCGCACTTTACTTTCTTGCATGCTCAATTCCTTGTTTAATATTGACTTAGCTAAACACCATAGCAATAGGATACGATAGATTGACGATTGGTCTCTATGGATCGATAATCTTTTATATTTCTCTGACGTGATTCATACACTTGCGAATACACCGCATCAATAAACACGTGATAGTAAAGTATACAGGTAATCAATATATTCTATTTTAAATATATATAGGTATAATTATAGTTTTAGTCTTTATATTTTTCAAAACTCATAAATTAATTTTTTATTATAAATTCAAACAATGTAAAATAGAGATAATAATTTTTTGAATGACATAAAATAGGTGGACCTAGATGATCATGAGCCAATTTGGAATCACTTATTTCGACTATTCAAAATACTTGGAACCAGATGAATAGTCAAGGTAAATTCAAGATGAATATTGTGTATAATGAATTAACTAAAGATGATCATGAGCCAATTTGTAATCACTTATTCTTGAATAATTCTGCTAGACGAAGGGCTTTGATAACTCTTTGGCTTGCTTGTCACAGAAGGTTGGCTATGAAGGAGAGGCTTCAAAAATTTGGCATGGTTTCTAACACTAGTTATTGCTTCTGTCAGCAGGTTGACACCTTAGATCACTTGTTTTTTGAATGTTCACAAATGCAGGCTATTTGGCATAATATCTTGAGCTGGCTTCATGTGAACCATGTTTCGAAGGGTTGGCATTTGGAGCATCCTTGGATAGTGCAACAGTGTTATAGGAAGGGTTGGAGATTTAACCTTTTAAAGCTTGTTGTAACTGAAACAATCTATGTCTTGTGGTGCTATAGAAATGATAAATGATTTGGCAATATGAGGATGCAGAAGAATATTGTGGATCAAAATTTGAATACCATTATCTTTAGAGCTTGGAATTGTAAGAGGTTAAAACCTCATATTATTGAGTTTATGTTGTAATTGCCTTCTTGTGGGTTGGATCGTTTACGATCCCTTGTACTTATCGTTCTTTTTTGAATATATCAAGTTTTGTTAAAAAATAATAATAACAATTATATTAATAATAAACTAGTTCGACATAACGGATATTTTCGTAGTATTATTTTGTAAATAAAAATATCCCATCTAAACAATGAATTTCCTTTAAAAAATATCTCTTTTAACAATAAACACATGATAGTAAAGTATAAAATTTACCAATATATTCTATTTTCAAACATTTATAGGTATAATTACAGTTTTAGTCTTTCTATTTTACAAAATTCATGAAAATAATTTTTTGTTATAAATACAAACAATATAAAATAGAAATAATAATTCTTTGAATGACATAAAATAGATGGACCAAAACTATAATGAAATCAATAATATATTAGTCAAATATACAATCTTAAATTGTTGAAAAAATTTATTTTGTTTGAATTTATCTTTTCTTTTCTAGAATTTTTAATAAATATGCATTAATATAAAATATTAATAATATTAACTAAATATGTATTAATGTAAAATATTAAGAATATATACTAAACATAAATTAATTTAAAATATTAAAAATATTTACTAAATATGCATTAATTTAAAATATTAAAAAGGTTCATTTTAAACTTTATATTGAAAAATCTGAAAAGATATTTATCCACTTTTCAACTTTTCAATTATTTTATATTTTTTTGTTTGTATATAAATTCGAGGTTTGCATGTAGTCAGAATATATCTCATTCACACATTTGAAATTGAAGCTATTCAAAATGACTAAGTTTTCTTTCATATCCATTCTTGTCCTTTTCTTTATTTTTTCAGGTATATAAATTTTGTTTTTTGTTTTTAATATGTTTTTGTAACACTTATGTGTGTGTATGTATGTAATAATGTTTATTTGTTGGGTGTTAACCTTATAAAACTTAATTATGCTTTTTTTTCCACAGTTGTAACCATGACATGTCAAGCAGACAAATTATGTAAGACAATCCGTTATGGTCCTTCTAGTGTTTGTATCCTTTGGGATTGTCAACAATGGTGCTATGAGCAGTATGACGGTAAAGGAGTTTGTGAGCCATTGGGATCAGCAACCAAATGTTATTGCGTATATAAATGTTAAGTCTATAAAAAATATAGCATAATGCTCAAAAATTAAATGTTAAATGTAAGAGCGTGTCAAAATAAATTTAATAAAATTATGGCACTGATATTTTTCAAATTGGTATTTAACTGTTTTTGTATACTTATTACGATTGAATATTTTATATTAACCACATTATAATTGAATTTTTGTTAGATATAAAACTAAAATAGAAAAATATGAGTGACTAATTATTTAATTCTAGTATAAGAATCCATTGTTTGAAAATTTAACATATCATGGACGTGGAAAAAACGAATAAAATATAAATTTATTTATGGTTCAGTTTGATTTTAAATGATTGATTGAAAAAATACAATATGATTCCATTCAATTTCATACCGTTTAATTTAGATATCTTTTAGAATATCCAAATTACAAATTATAATTTTTTAATTAAAATTATAAATGTAATATTCTATTTTTTTCTAATTTGAGAATAATGAATATTTTCTATTAATTTAGATTATAACCGAGGGCATAGTGGTCATTGAAGAATAATTGGAGGGCGTAATAGTCATTTCATCCATTAAGTCAGGCCTAAGGGTTTGTTTGGCCTTGTAACATTATTCATGTTATTCCAAATCAGAATTTGAGAAAAAAAGAGAGAGGAAGCGTGAAAGAGAGGAAGAGAAGAAGTTCCATTTTGAGCTAACCTCCATCATCATCTCTCGTATGTTCCAAGACCAAGTTCCTACCTTTGATTCATCGTCATCTACCTCTATTCAGGCTTCTTCTTCCCTACTCTAAGGTGAGTCTCATAGTTAGAGACTTGGGATTTTAAGGGTTTAATACGAATTTGGGGGTTAAGGGTTATGTTGAGAATTTGATGTTGCATGTTGATTGTTATTCATGAATAACATGTTTCTAACTCAAAATTCAGATTTATGTGTTATAGGTAACTAAAAAGGGGTGGTAAATTTTGGGTTTTGGGTCCCCAAGACATAATTGTTTGTTCTAATAATTTTGTAGTTTTCGCAGTGTTCAGCGCACTTGCCTCTGTAACTTAAAGTTGTCAATTCTTCAGGGTGCACTTAGCGCGAGGGACTGCACTTATCGTGAACTGGGATATAAATTTTTTGAAAATAATTTCCCGAGTGCAGTGTTGTCCCGGGATCGTAACTGAATGCCTCCCTGATTAAATTCTGGATATTCTAGAGGTGTTATAGACTATTAAATCCTATGATTTAATTGTCAAGCAATTGGATTATGATTATGCATGATTATATGTAGAATACATTATTCTTGAAAAGTTATGATATGCTCCTATTAATTAATAGGTATGATTGATACATGTGATTGTTGGAAATGTCGTATTTGATAATTGCCTGAAAAAGTGTGATTGCCTGTCGTTTCGGCTGAACGTTCAATGGTGTATGTTTGTTTGAATTTATATGTGCCTTTCGAGACTGATACACATTGTGAATTTGATGTATACTTGAATCGGAGTAGGCCCGAATACTATGAAGTAAATTACTCATGACGTAGACCTTGTGTGTCAATTAAACCATTGTGATGCACTTGTGTGGATCCATGTGTGGCATTTTCACCAGCAGTTAAGAACATTTGTGTTCTCGGTATGTCATAAGCACCTGAGCTACCATTGTGATGCGCTTGTGTGGGTCCATGTGTGGCATTTCCACCAGCATTTAAGAACACCACATGCTTGGTATAGTTGGTTGTGATTCCACATAGGCAAGATCACTCCATGGATTTCTAACTAACCTATAATGGTGCTATGTAAGCAAAACCATTAGGCTTTCACCCGATGGGCTCGTGCTATCAAGATGACGTCTTTGCACCGACAATTAATCATATGCATTTGGATGACAGATGAGTCATGATGCCTCATCAGCAAATGTCACTCATGGAACTTGTCACAGATGGAATTCCACTTATGAACGAAATGGATTGTCGTGCTGTGATCGAGGAAAGTCTCTTGACGCGATGCACGGGTGTAAATCACCGAGGGTGTGATAGTGTAATCTGACTAGGGGAATTAACGTACTCTTGGATTCTTCGTACATGGGTACGGGTCTGCATACTTGTTTGTTTTGGTTATGTGTTGTTTAATCTCGTTGGGATGTAAAGGGACTACCAATTGAGATTTTCCCTATTGTGTACTTGTACCAAGCTGTGATAAAAATTCAGATTCACGGTGGATCCACTCTGATGCATACACCCTGTAGAACTCATTGAACTCCTAAGATAGGGAGACTCATTGAGATTCAGTAATCTCACCTTATTCCAATTAATATTTTTCAGGTTCTTCGAGGCGTGATCATGACAAGGGTAAGATGGCTTAGCTTGTCGGCGATGTTTCTTGGAGATGTTTCATTTCTTTTGTACCTTCAGTTTATATACCTTGGATTATGTATTAGTACTTTTGGATTTATATCATTTTGGCCATGAGATTTCGGCAAGTTTGTATCATATACTAATACTTATCTATGCTCCGCTGCTTATGTATGAATTTCATTTACCGTTATAATGCCATATATGTATTATCCTAGGAAATGATATGTATGGGGTGTTAGAGTTGGTATCAGAGCAGGTCGATTGTCGGCTTTGCCACGAAACATCATAAGTCATTATAATTCTACCTCATATGTGTAATTGTCGGCATTATTCCTTACGTTCAACTTATGGCATTGAGCCTGATCAACTTAATTCTATGTGTCGAACAAATAGGAAGATGGTTGATGGATACAAAGGTCCCGGAAGGCCATGAACTAGACATGTGGATCCTGAACTAGAAAGGCTAACATGCTTTGGTTGCAGATGATGCAACAAATACAGTAGTAGAATCAATTGATGATGCAGATGATGCAGGATATGCAAGGACCACAACCAACTGCTCCTGCTCCTATTCCACAAGCTCTAGCGGGTCCATATTTTCGTGCCTTTTTCAGGATGAAACCACCAGAGTTCGTGAGTGGCTTGGATCCTGTAGCTTCCCCAGATTGGCTTTACATCACGGAGAGGGTATTCCCGGCCATCCAGTGTACCGAGGAAGACAAAGTGATGTTTGTTGCTCAAATGCTGAAAGGTCCAGCTGGTAGTTGGTGGGATACTACATCTACCTATTTCAACTCCTAGATGATTCTTAGAGATTGGCAGCACTTCAAGACAACATTCTTGGAGATATATTACCCGAATAGCTTGCGTTCTCAAAAGAAGAGAGAGTTTCAACTATTATAAGGGAACGTGTCAGTGTCTGAGTATGCTGATAAATTTGAAGACATGGTTACTTGCTCCAGACAAGTTTTCTATGCACCTGATGAGATGTGGAAGATCGACCAGTTTTTGTTTGGATTGAATGCTGATGTTGCCCATATTGTGTCTCAACGAGTATTCTCCACTTATGTTTAATATTTGAGACAATGCTATGTTGCTTAAAATAGTTTGAAGAGAGTTAAGGAAGGGAGGGAGAAAAGTCGGTCTTTGCGTAAGGATTAGGGGAAGTCGGGGCTATATCTGAAACCTCGAAGTTCTCCTCCAGTAAGGAAGCCAATTTATGGTGATCGATCGGCTCAACCTCCTATATGTGGCAAGTGAAATAAGAGGCATAATGGGAATTACTGGGTGGACTCATGGAAGTGTCACTGATGTGGATTAAAGGGTCACTTGATTAGGGACTACCTAAACCAGAATATTTTGGATAAGACTGCAGGTCGTGTGTACACCTTGGATGCAAGGAAATCCTAAGGAAACACAAATATTGTTACTGGTTTGTATTATGTTAATAATTAACCTTTGTTTGGTTTAGCAGATTGTGGAGCGATGCATTCCTTTATTTCTAATTTGTGTATGCGACAGCTCGGATTCGAATCCACTACTCTTTCTAATCATATGATTATCTCGTCTACTACGAATGATGTAATAGAAGCTCTGAAAGTTTGTAAGGATTGTTCTGTTACTTTTAATGACCGTAATTTTTTGATTTATCTTATTTGTTTTCCTCTTTAGAAGATCTACTTGATATTGGGTATGGATTAGTTGTCAGCCAACTCAATGTACATCGGTTGTAAAGAGAAAGCTATCTTCATTCCTGTTGAAGAAACCGCTTCTGTCAATGCTATTAGAAATCTGATCGAAGGTACAATTAACTTGGTATATTTCCTTTTTACTCAAGAGAAGTCTTTCCTTTTGGTCCTTATTTCAGATCTTGAAAGTGAGAGGAGTGTGTCTGAAATCCCTGTTGTGTGTGAATTTCCTGATGTTTTTCTGGAAGATGTTACTTCGCTTCCATCATAAATCGAAGTTGGGTTCTTTATAGACCTTGTTCTAGGAACCACTTTGGTTTCTACCGCTTTGAATTACGTGTCTCCTGCAGAGCTAAGGGTGTTTAAGAGTCAATTAGAAGAGTTATTGGTGAAACACTTTGTTCGTCCCAATGTTTCTCCATAAGGGCGCTCATGTCCTACTGGTAAAGAAGTAAGACGATAGTATGAACTTGTGAATTGACGATTTCCAATTGAATAAGGTGACCATCAAGATCAAGTATCCTCTACCACAGATTGATGACCTCCTGGATCAGTTGAAAAGAGCCCGCGTGTTCTCGAAGATTAATCTCAGGTCAGGATATCATCAAATTTGGGTTGAAAGTTTGGATGTGTAAAAGACCACATTTAGGACGCGCTACAGTCACTATGAATTATTGGTTATTCTGTTTGGAGTGACCAATGATCCTTCCTTCTTTATGGATTACATGAACCAATTGTTCCAACCATATCTGGACCAGTTTGTAGTGATCTTTATAGACAACATTCTAATTTATTCTCGAACAGTTGAAGAACATGTGGAACATTTGATAATCGTGTTATTTGTTCTTCATGATAAGTTGTTGTTTACGAAGTTTAGCAAATGCGAGTTCTGGATGTTGAAAGTCAAGTTTCTCAGACATTTTATTTCTAGTGGAGGCGTACCAGTAGACCCTTCTAAAGTGGAAGTTATGGTAAATTGGGAACGACCTAAGAATGCAATTGAAGTTCGTAGCTTCCTAGGTTTGGCGGGTTACTATTGGAGGTTCATCATGGGATTTTCCAAATTAGCATTACCTTTGACAAGGCTAACAAGGAAGGAGGTTTCTTTTGAAGTGAATTCTGAGTGTGAGCAGAGCTTCTAGAATTTGAAGAAGAAATTGACTACTGCTCAGGTGCTAGTGATTCTAGATCCAGAGTGATCGTATGAAATATTTTTTGATTCCTCCAAGAAAGGGATGGGTGGAGTTCTGATGTAAGATGGTCAAGTTGTGGCTTATGCGTCTCAATAGTTGAGATCGCACGAAGAGAATTATCCTACACATGATCTTGAACATGCTGCGAATGTTTTTGTGCTTAAGGTGTGGCGACATTATCTGTATGGGGTTTACTTTGAGATGTTTAGTGATCATAAGAGTTTGAGGAACCTCTTTAACTAGAAAGAAATCAATATGTGTCAAAGGAGATGGATAGAATACCTTAAGGATTATGACTTTGACTTGAATTATCATCCCAGGAAGGATAAGATAGTAGCGGATGATCTGAGAAGAAAAGAAATTTGAGTCGCAGAACTAATGATGTTAGACTTTGATCTCTTGGAGAAATTCAAAGACCTCGACTTACAGTTTGAATGGGCGCCAACCGACATATTAATCAGTAACTTGAATGTTGAGAATTTTTTGCGAGAAAAGATTTGCCAGGCTCAGTGCAACAATATATAGTTACAAGCTGTGTGAAGTCTTCCAAATTTTTCCTGAGCAACCGATG